CTATATTTTAATAAAAGTAAATGAAATACGAGGGTGGAAAGTTGATAAAAATAAAAAAAAAATTATGAGTCTCATTAATATGTAATTGAAAATAAGTTGAAAAAAATGAGTTTTAAAAAATATGGACCGAACACAAAAGGCTGAGTATGATAATCAATGGTCGATAAAAATGTCTATTTTTCTTTTCAATTTGATATAATTGTGTAAAACTGTACCAAAATATATCGTAAAGCTGGAAAACTAAATTAGGGAGAGATTGCTTAGAAATTTTGCAAACCAGAAGTTTAGAACGCATACATTTCTTTAAAAAAAATAAAAAAATTTGACGAAATATAATAGTCATCAAGATTCAGCAGAGAAACACGTTGGATGAACGTGTATCTTCCGACAGAATTTATTCGAGTAAATTTAATCAACACTCACCGAACTTTAAAATGGTTACCACTTACTCACTCAACTTTAACGCGTTACCGAACGCTCACTAATCTTTCCTTGTAGTTACCCATCCAACACTAACTCACTCCCGTCTGTGAAAATTGACAGAAAATTACACGTGGGTAACTGTAATCTCACGTGGCAAACTCTATCCGTTAAATTGACGATGTGTAATCCAACCCACCACACTTCTCCTTCTCAAATCAAGCTTCTCGCCCAACTCCAACCCTTCATTCCCAAACCCACGCCTCTCCTTCATTCCCAAAGACCCAAACCCACGTCTGCTCCCGGCGAAGAATCTGGGCGAAGAGTTCTCCATCTCTGCAATTAAATCTGCCTTCTGCGCAAGGCAACCGATAATGTTGTGTGGATGAATCGATATGGATCACCCAGCTGAAAGCCCTCTTCGACGACATCGCCCAGCTGAATGCCCTCCTCGACGACATCACCCAGGCTGCCCAGTTCAAAGCCTTCCTCGACGACATCGTCCAGCTTAAAGCCCTCCTCGAAGACATCGCCCAGCTCAAAAGTGTGGATGAATCGATATGGATTCCTAGAACGCAGAAGCCTCCTGTGGAGATTGAGAGACATGCTGCTAGTGCAAGTAATGATTCGAGCAATTATGGGATGATTCCTTCTGATTCCTCCTCCTCTTCCAGTGGTATAAGCTCAAATCTTCGAACAATTTTGTGTATTCATCTTCCTGTTTCTGAGGTCAAAAGCAGAAGCCTTCGTGAAGAAGCAGAACCCACTTGGCTCTATGAACTTTGTATTGTAGTTGGTTGTTGTATATGTAGTTGATTGCTGTAACTTTGCTGTATGATCTTTGTACAATTGAATGAATGAATCATTTTTTAACTTGGTTTGTTTCATTTTTTGTGACTGAGTTGGTGAATGGGCAATATAATGTGTAGATGAGCATTTACTTCTGAGGTTATGGGAAATTGGATGCCTGAGGTGCTTATGTGTTGCACCAGATTGAGCAGGATGAAAATTGGATTAGCAGGATGAAAATTGGATTGCCTGAGGTGCTTATGTGTTGCACCAGATTGAGCAGGATGAAAATTGGATTGCCTGAGGTGCTTATGTGTTGCACCAGATTGAGCAGGATGAAAATTGGATTAGCAGGATGAAAATTGGATTGCCTGAGGTGCTTATGTGTTGCACCAGATTGAGCAGGATGAAAATTGGAGTAGCAGGATGAAAATTGGATTGCCTGAGGTGCTTATGTGTTGCACTAGATTGAGTAGGATGAAAATTGGATTGCCTGAGGTGTATAAATGTCATGGATAAGTAACTGTATGTTAAATGACCTAATTTACATCCTGTTGATAAGCTGTAGTTGATCTAACACGAATAATACATATTTAGGGTGGCAAGTTCTGTGGACTAATTGTAGGTAAGTCCAGATCACTGTAAAGGACAAGTGGCCTTTTTAATCACCATTGTAATTGGAACATACCACAAGGTGAGTGAGATATCTTTTCACTCATCTTGTGATTCGCTAAGATCATTGAGGAATAAAATTGAGCTTCTCTACTAGTTGTTTTCAGAGTAATGTTTTGACATTAATGGTGATTGCAGCTGAGATTGCAATGGTGGAGAACAACATTATTGTCTATAGGTTTGTTCAAGACTTGCACTTCTTTGTGACGGGGGTGATGATGAAAATGAACTGATCCTAGCTACTATTGTAGCGACCAAGAAATTTTAACAATGGAAGATTCTGGATGGAACTAGCCACTAGCTCCATCCTGGATGGAGCTAGCTGCACTAGCTCCATTCTAGATGGAGCTGGCCACTAGCTCCATTCTGGATGGAGCTACTAACACTAGCTCCATCAAGGATGGAGCTAGCAATCATTCTTAACTGAGGTGCATAAGTGTGATAAAAGCAGTAAATCACATACTTTACTTGAATATAACCATTCATTCAAACTACCAAATTAAACCAGTAAATGGACAGAGATATATGGATAAAAGCAGCAAGAAATACATTTCAAAAACCAGTAATTGAAAAATTCTGAATAGAGTACGAAAATGTGATGCACCAGATTAAGAAGCTTCAATGTAATGCACCAGCTAAGGTGCATCAGCACCAAGAATCAGGTGCTGATGCAGTCTAAAACATAAACCAGTAAAACATAAACTGCTGATTTTGATAGATGCAGTCTAATTTTGTAGCAGCAGATTTTAGTTTGTATTTTTTGACATTAGCTTCTAGTGCATTAGCAGGCATTTTGGTGCATTTTGATGCACCTCCATCACATTTTTGCACCTCCATCTGACTTGTTTGAACACAAGATGATTCTTAAGTCCTGGTAGCTTGTTCTGAATATTTATGCACTGACTATTGTTACTAGCATTCTGTTAAATAATATGAATGGATCTGACTTGTTACTTAACATTTATGCACCTCAATTTTCGTTCATCATTCATTCATCAATCCAGTTGACAGAAAATCTCAATCAAACCAATTTTCATCACATTCATTCCGCTTCAGCCCCACCAGCAAAACTACCAACTATACAACAACCAACACAAGGAAATGTAAGACAATGTATCCAAAACAATTTATTCTTTAAGGATTTCAAACTACAAATTAACAAGACTATTAAACTGGAACATATATTTTTTCTAATTTCTCCTTTTCAGCTATTTTTTCAGCAAAACAACCTCTCAATTATTTTTTCTAATTTCTCTTTGTCAGCTTCGATTTCAACATTCAACAGGCTGTTTCAGGCATCTTCAAACTCCAGTAGAAACTGAGTGCAGCTGGGACGGCTCCAAACATCAAAATATAGTCTCTGCTTGTGGCACCGTCGAGAGTGCCGCACACTCCGCCGCTATCCCACCTGCCACCTCCGCAAATGTTACGTCGCTTCTCGATTTTTCATGGCACACTGGTTAACCTGCCAACAACAACAGCAGAGATGTCGTGAGAATGGGGGAGCAGACGGCTTGGGTTTTGGGAATTAATGGGTTTCAATTTGGGAATTCAGGGTTTAAATCTAGGAATTAAGGGTTTCAATTTGGGAATTCAGCCTTCAGGTAGTGAGAATGGGGAAGAAACATGATTTATTCTGTGAAGAGTGGTGGGTTTAATTCCACGTTGGCAATTTAACGTAGGATGTTTGCCACGTAAGGAAAATCGTTAGCCACGTGTAATTTCTGTCAATTTTAAGAGACGGCAGTGTAGTGAATGGTGGATGGGTAACCATAAGGAAAGTTCAGTGAGCGTTCGGTAACGCGATAAAATTCAATGAGTAAGTGGTAACAATTTGAAAGTTGAGTGACTGTTGATTAAATTTACTCTAAGTTGATTTGTAAAACCTTTTGGTTTTTCAACCAAAATGTTCGCCAATCCTTTAAATTTGTACTTTTTTTTAAACATCAATGCTCCATTCCCTTCTTTCTCGTGTAATTTATCCTTCTCAACCCCAATTTTTCTCCCATCTCCTGTCAAAATGCCAACAGATGACACTGGCAACTTCTTGTGAGACTTCTCTAATTTTTTTTTTTTTTGCAAGTTGATAAATCTGTTATCGACCTCTTTTTCAATCCCACTCTTCATAAACTTTCCATCATCTATATAATCTTTTTCCTTACTGTCAAAACCATTGTTTTTCAGTTCTCGTTTTTCCCTAACTCTTGCCTTCCTCGCCATTGTTTGAATCTCGTCGTCGATTTTTCTCTCTATTTCCACCTCATCTAAATCCATAACTGAATTAATACCACCATTTTCAAAACCTACTATACCATTATTTTCCTCCAACACTTGGTTTCAAAATTTTCCTTAACCGGAAACCAGGCAACATCAACAACAGACAACAGCCAACATTTGAAATTATACTCTACACTTTATAGCCAATACTCTATAGCAGATACCCATTGCCATTGCATATACTCTACACTCTATATCAGTCAACACATGAAATTTTCCTCCAATACCCATTGTTGGTGGATGGGTAACCATAAGGAAAGTTCAGTGAGCGTTCGGTAACGCGATAAAGTTCAATGAGTAAGTGGTAACAATTTGAAAGTTGAGTGACTGTTGATTAAATTTACTCGAATTTATTCTCTGGAAATATCCGTATGATCACCATGATGATGACACCACAAGTTGAAAAGGCCAATTCCACAAAACCCACCGCGTTGAGCATTAAGCTTCTGCTTTGCTTCCATTTTCTAAACTTATTTTTCTCTCGAAGTGGGATGACATCAACTTTTATTAAAATATTTACAAAAAATTTATTTTCAACCGAACCAAACTGCCAAGCAAGCGCCGTTGTTGTCTGTAGTGTAAAACTTGCACCCTAAGTCTTCTTGTTTATTTGTGCAAAAGTCTAACAGTTTCCCTAATTTCCTTGCTCTGCAAGAAACTTCCCAATTCTCATCCCTTTGAGGAATTAATTATTTAAAACCCTCTTTCTCATCCCACGTCTTCCAGTCTTCCATTCTCTCATACTGATTTTTCCAGGAATTTTTCCTCCTAAAAAATTAGGGTTTTTAGCTTCTGCAGGCGCGGTGTTTTTGTTTTTTGCTGAATTTGTTTAGAGAAAATATATGGATTTGCCTCCGGGATTCAGATTCCATCCAACAGATGAAGAGATCATAATTCATTATCTTGTGAAGAAAGCTTTGGACAGAAGATTCAGTGCAAGAGCCATAGAAGAAGCTGATCTCAATAAGTGTGAACCGTGGGATTTAACTAGTAATCTCTCTCTCTCTCTCTCTCGATTTTCTCTCTAGATATTTGGTTCATATATAGATGAATTTACTGGTTTTGAGTTTCTCTTCTGTGCAGAAAATTTTTGATACAAAGAGTTAATGACTTGTGTTTCTGATGCATGACGTATATGAAAAATAAATATGAAATTTGGATTTATGAATTATGATAAGTTCTTGAATTAGCGATGAGCCTCATTTTTTTCAAAATTCACTTTCAATCGCACATTTTTCAATAAAATAATTTTATACGTAAATCGAAAATTTTACTTTCTTTTTTAACCACACTCCCAAAATAACTATTCTAAAATGCACTTTATGTATTGGACATGATTTAAGGAACAAAAAAGTTGAAATACATGTCTTGTTCATTATATTCTATTCTATGATCTAGATATTGTCTAGAAAATATGGCTTATGACATATTTGGAACAGACGATTGGATAAAATATGAGTCAATTCAAATTAACATTGATTGCAAAAAGCATAAATATTGCTTTTACGACTAAATTTGAAGACTTTCTAGTTTCTAATTATGAATGGAAACTATGCCAATTGAATTATTGTTATGATTACATTTTTTTTTTTTTTTTTTGGTATCATGCCAATTATTATTCGTCCAAAATCATGTCACAGAATGTGAACGTTATTTATGTCGATTTTTGGACGTAAACATGATGAAAAATAGAAAATAACTTAATTGCAGGCTTTAAAATTTGTTTTAGTAAATCTAGAAAACTTTTGACAAAAAATACATGAAAATTTGATTAGGAATTCTACTTCTTGTTTTGTTGTGAGCTTCAACTAAGATAAATAACTAAATTGCATGCTTCATATATTTCAAAATATAAAAAAGTGATTATAGCAACTAAAATGTTAAATTATATAATGAATTTATAAAAATAAATAATAAATTTTTATACAATGTTTCCATGGCTATTCGTATTCTAGAAATAGCATTTTCAAACGCCACGTCTTGTTTGTAAAATGTGCAGAAAAGGAAAAGATGGGAGAAAAAGAATGGTTCTTTTGCAAGAAAGATAGGAAATACCCAACGGGGATGAGAACAAATAGAGCAACAGAATCAGGATACTGGAAGTCTACTGGAAAAGATAAGGAGATCTACAAGGGCAAAAACTGTCTTGTTGGGATGAAAAAAACCCTAGTTTTCTACAGAGGGAGAGCTCCAAAAGGAGAGAAAACTAATTGGATCATGCATGAATACAGACTTGAAGGAAGTTTTTGCAGTTACAACCTTTCTAAGACAGCTAAGGTACGTGTTGTATCGAAATATTTCGTCTAAAATGTTGAAGCTTTTAAACAAAGAGATTCAACATGGTATTAGACAAGACAAGTTATTTATTTTACCATTTTCTTTGGCGTTTAACTGAAAACCGGATTTTTAGCCTATGTTTGAGCTTCATTTTTCCCAAAAATTTATTTTTTCCATTTTCAACCAGACATTCTCCCATAAAATAATTTTATACGAAAATTCAAAATTTTTTCTTATTTTTTAACCACACATTCTCCAAAAAAATCATTATTTCAAAACTTATTTTCCCCCAAAATGGGGCTCAAACAGGCCCAGTATATATTTGATAAAAATTAATGAAATGTATGATTGAAAAGTTGATAGAAGCTGTGAATTCCATGAGATATATGATTGAAAATGAATTTAAAGAAAAATGAAGTTTAAAAGATAGGGACCAAACACATGCTTATGAAAAATGTCTGACTTTGAAAAAAGAAAAAGAAAGAAAAATTTGCTAGGAATAGTAGGATTTTTTTGACTTTTTTTTATTCACATGGATCGCACGTGAGTCCCACTCTCATGTGAATATAGGTTAATAAGGATGTCAATTTTTTTCTGACAAAAAAGTTTAATTAAAAAAAAATAGTAACAATAATAATTGAACATGACTTTGTACAGGATGAAGCATGCTCATTTCAAAAGTTTAAGCTCACGTATGGTTCAACAATTTATTCTTCCCATCTTAATGTCTTGCTTAATTTTTTTTTTCTTTTATGTTTCCTTCTTCGAATAAATAATTCCAACATACAATTAATTCCATGTAATGCCGATTCCCAGGAGGAATGGGTTGTTTGTAGAATTTTTCGCAAGAACACAGAAGTTCTCAGCAGAAGTAATCCAGGTGCAGAATTTCCAAGAATGGACTCCTTTAAGGAACAATATTTCTTGGATAGCCATACACTGCCACCATTGATGGATGTTTCTTGTAGACCTAGTTCAAGCTTTACAACTGATGAAGAAGGCAAATTCATCATAGAAAATTCTCTCTCAGCAATTCCAGAGCCAAATCTCAATTCTTATAATCAAAGTAGTATTCCTAATTCAAATTTTCCAAGTCAAGTGTCATTAGATCTTCCTTTCCAGTACCAAGACAGGATCAGTTCGACGATGAAGACTTGTACAACCTTTCCCTTTAGAGAATTTGATCAAACTGATTTAAGAATTGTAGCACAGAACCAAGGAATACTGGATCCTGGAAGAACTGCTTACAAGATGGAACAATTCTCTACGACAAATTCTATGGTTAGTATTTCCCAAGACACGGCCCGATTTGGCATGGAAATGGCCAATGAGATGACTACTGTGGCTTCGAAAGGAGAAACTGAAAGAGATAAGCCGTTTGATGACTTTGAGGGCCCTCTTTTCAGTCCCTATATTTCAAATTTGGATTACTTGTGGAGTTACTGAGGAACAGAAATCTGCTGCCTGATTCTTTACTTAGCCCACTCAGGATCCTATTCTCCCCCATTCATCGTATGCTGGATTGAATCGCACTAAACAGGAACAATGAAGAAAATGGAGTTGAAATCTTGTATGCATTCTATACATTTTTGTCTAATCAAAGGCTGTGTAGTAGTTCAATTTTAAAGAGACATTAGACAATTTATACTTTCTAGAACATTCTTATGTACATTTTCGCTCGCGGATACTTGGAAATCTCATGTTTGCTATCATTGTGGCTCGTATACATCTAAATTCTTTAAAGGTCAAAGTGATATTTGGTCATTATTCAATTTCTTTTTTCCTTTAGAAGTCCTTTATTGGCTTGGCTAAAAGGATAATTTCCAACCTTTTCAAAGTAAATATTATCTGTTAATTCAACTCATCATTACATCTATTGAATTTGAATTACAGAAAAGTTACGAGTATGGAGATGAGAATACAGCAGAAAAAAAATCAAAATCTTGAGGCTCACCAGATCAAGAACATGATGCATAAACTTATAACTAAATATATGCCTGTTGATTCCGAACTTTTTCCTTGTTGATGATGATCGTTCATAAATGCTATTCTCAACATAGAACATTCTTGTCGTCGTGTCTATTCTTTTCGAAGAAATTAAGGAGAGATACACACGAAGATTGTACAGATAAAGAGCATCTGCAACATGGCTGTTTCTTGGTAAATGCTATAACATTTTTGTGTTGAAAACAGGCACTATAAGTGGCATACGCATTTTTTAAATAGTGGAGTTCACAGGTGCAGCGTCTGTGGTATGGCCTTCTCTCTTTCTCCCTGTACTGCTTCAGTACTGATATGCTTCCATTAATTATCTCTACCGCCTCCATCTACGCTTCTCTCTATATCTGTATCTGTCTGTGTATGTGAAAATAAGGTTTGAAAGTTGTGCTTTAATCATATGAGATATTTAAGGGGAAGGAAGAATCCATTCCATGCAGGAGACAAAATAGTAGCCCAGTCAAGAAAGTTAATTTGACCCTGAAGTCTTTGTTAATGCAGAAATTAACGAGATGTTTTGGACTTTGGCCTGGCCTGCTGACTGTAATTTTCAGTTTTCTGTTAAGCTAGCTAAGTCTATTCAAGAATTGTCCTTTGTGTTGGCATTTTCCTTGTCTGATTTTGGCCATTGCATGAGAACAAATCTATGGTAAATTCTTACAGTGACGTAAAGGACTCTTCAAATGAAATAAATAACATTTCTTTATAAAATAGAAACAATCAAACGCTTATACATTTCATTGTTCGATTCTATTCACTATTGCATACTAACGATGCTCTTATGGGCTTTAGCACTCTCGTCTACACAATCTGAGCAGGCTGCAAGCCCCTAAGGCCGACCCAGAACAGCTGAAAAAGGCTTGGGCAAGCCGGCCAACAGCATGGCCTGACCGTAGGCCTAGGCAAGGACATGAACATGTATCATCATGGTAGTCCGACGAGTTAATACCCTAAATAGTCACTTAACTTTGTCAAAAAATTTTCAGGAGGTCACTGAACTTTGCAAATGGTTACCAGGGGGCACTGAAATTCAAAACTTCCCTAAATAGTCACTGAACTTTGCCAAAAAGAACTTTGCCAATTAAATGAAGCCAAAAAGATTTTAATCATTGGGGACGACCTTTTTCCACGATGGGGTGCCTATAACGTAAGAAAAGAATTAAACCGACTTCTTAACCTAAAACCTTGCACATTGTACTTGGTTGCAAATACTATCTACATGAGCCCACATTGTTACCAAACTGATCGTTAGCATCACGAGAAGATCGATAATAGATCATGGATGCTGTTACTGAATATAAACATTTGCATGAATCCTTTTCCTCCACTTCATCCAATCATTCCTCAAATGCTTATCAAAAATTATGAATGTCGAGATCTTATTCTTATATATGCAGGTGATGAAATGAAAACACTTCGGGTGCAAGTACTACTAGAAATGATAAAAACATATTGAAAGAAGTCTCATCCTTTTGAACTCGACTTGAGAAAAAGGTTCGACATCCAACTTTGAGCTCTGATCTAATCAAGTAGATGATGTCCAAATTTGAAGCGTTTTATAGTTTAAACACGAGCTTTCACCTTAACATTTTATCTTGAGAAAAATGTTTCCGAGAGAGAAATTGCACTTCTTTGGAACCGTAAAAAAATATTATCTACTTGACTAGAATGAAAAATAACTAATTTTATTTTGTCCCAAAGACCAAAAATAACTTGCAAGGTTTATTTAAATACAAAATAACTCCATTATAAATTATCATCAATTTATACAGCAAGTAATATAATATACTACATATACACTAACTTTAACATTATGAATGACATTCTTTTAAGTTGATAATTTTTTATACATTTATTTTAAGAATACTTTAAACAATTATTGGCATAAATTTTGTTAACTTATACAATGTCATCTAGGAACATACATCTAGATTAATTCATATATAAAACATTTGATGCCATCTGTCTTCATAATTCAATGGGAGAATTGAAGCTGAGGTTCCAAACCTTTTAAATTGTTGTTGACTATACACAAATCTTTCATTTTTTGCATCCACGATCCCAATTATTTTATCTTCGTTGTAATTGGACTGTTGGAGGACCAATGGACAAAATTAACTGTTAGTCAACCAAAAAACTTGACCACATTTTGACTAAATCTAAAAAGGCAAAATTATATTTTTACATTTCTTCAATAAAATAATTAAAAAATTTTAAAAATAAAATGGAATTACAGTTCACCACACCCAACCCAAATTCATTCGCCACCGCCACCGCTCTCTCCATCCATCCTTGAGGATTATTCCTTTTAGTCAAATCTATGACGAGAAACCAATGGATCTATCAGCAGCCTCTCTAAAAATGTCTCTGCATCAACAACAGTTTCTTCAATTTTACAACAACAAACAGTTGCAGCAAAGATTAAGAAAATAATTAGAAGGGTTATCCAAGAAACGACGCAGATCAAGAAAATCCCAAATTATGCCAAGATTTTTACTCTTCTGTTGAGACATAAAGACCCAGTTTGGAGAGACTGAAAGTGAGCAAATATGGGTTTGGAACTTCGAGAATGCTCAACAAGCTCGGGAATGGAGACCTCAGAATCAAATGTGCGCTCTGTTGCAATGCTAGTAACTCTAAGAAACTCTATCTTTGCATTTAACCAAAAATTTTATCTTGATTGACAATTGAATTACAAACCCAAAACTTTATCTAAAATAGTTCATCTTCTTCCCACCCCCCACACTTACCCCCACCTTCCCTCACCCAACCCCAACCAAACGAACCAAAATCCACCCACCTCTACCGTGCCGACGATCGCAATCCACCCATACACAAGTTGCAAAGATTGCCACAAGCGCCCCCACAAATTAGCAGCAAGAAATGGACTTTACGAGAAACTTATTTAGACGTCATAATCCCTAAGCCATTTTCAATTTTTTATCTCTTCTTCTTCTCTTCGGTCAAAATAGTATTTTCGACGGACTATTTCAGCAGGAAACCCATATTTTTTATCGAGGAGCTCCATTTTCTGATCGATTGTTAAGGTCCAAATCTCTAATCTGGACTACGCAGATCCACATAGTTGGACAACAGGTTTCTGAAGCCACGAGTTCGAGGATTCAAAGAGGTTGATTTTCCAGATTTGCTGATTTGGGGGGTGGTGGTGTAGGTGGGATGGATGGATGGAGAAGAAGAAGAAGAAGAAGAATATGGAATGGATTTTTAATTTTAATATTTGATATGGTTATTTTATTANATACATTCTTTTAAAAGAATGTATTATTGAATAGTAGATTGATGGAGAATGTGTGGTTGAAAATGAAGGAAAAGTTATTGATGTGATGGAAAATATTATTTTATTGAAGATTGTGTTGTTGAAAATGAATAGAAGAATGAGAATGAAAAAAATAATTTATACCAAACAGAGCCTAAATGAAAGATTTGGTACCGTTACTACAATTGCCCTTTTAAACAAATATAAGCAGATTGTCAGCGAAAGACTGGGAAGGCTACAATAATTGCACAGAGTCCTCTAGGCCCCACCAATTATATTTTAATATTGATGCCAAAAAAAAAAAAAGAAAAAGAAAAGAGAATCTCACACACTCATCGCTCGTTAAGTTAAAATTGGTGGTTTTTTAAAATGAATTTTACCCTTACTGATTACTGTTTCAAAAGAGGTTCGAACTCAGTCTACTTATTTTATTCTTACCATGAACCTCGAATTGGTCGGATTTTAAGACGGAACAAGTATTTTTAAGAGTTTGTTTATTTTAATGAAAAAAATAGCAATCATTTTGGTTGAGAAATTGATATTTTCCATAAAAAGTAAATAGAATCATACACACACGCGTAATATCCCGCGTAGTCTACCGGCCAGCCAGTTACGTGGACTCATGACACGGTTCAGAAAATTTCTCGGTTAGTCCGATTCTTCTCTGGTCATACCATTTATGACTCAACAATAAAAACCAATATAGATCATCCCCTAAAATTTCTCTCTCTCACACACTCAAACGAGCAGAGATCTCGGCCATGGCTTCGGGAGCAAATAAGAAGGTGGGGGCTGAAGGAGCCTCGTCGGAGAGTGGTGGCTCCGAGTCTGGATCTGAAGGAAGACCGGTCAATAATTTTGATAATAACAATACGAGGAATGATGACAATGTTATTAGTGGTGGTGAGAAGTTTGAGTATTCTGGGTGGGTGTATCATCTAGGAGTCAATTCAATTGGGCATGAGTATTGCCACTTGCGGTTTCTCTTTATACGAGGAAAGTATGCGGAGATGTACAAAAGAGATCCCCATGATGATCCTTCTGCTGTATGTATCAATTCATTTTCATATTTTTTTTTCCATTCACAAATGAATTGTCTTTCCTTTATTGATTGTGTGGTTATGTTGAGAAGAATATTGAAAATGTTTATAAAGAGCTGAAAATGTTGGTTATGATCAAGTCGAATTATGCTTGAACTTTAGGAGAGCTACTGAATTGGGTAATCTGGACAAGGGTCAACTTTTTTCCTTTCTGTAATGCATTTGAGCTTTCATCTTTTGTTACCTCTAAATTGCTTGAGAAGAAGGAAAGAGTAATTTATGGTCAATGTTCTGTGCTTCATTCATCATCAATCACCTATTGATTAACTGCCTACGCAATACATGTTAAAAAAAGAAGGAAAAATAATGCACATTAGAGAAGCTTGTTTGGAAGATTTTAGTAGCATCTGCAACTGCAATATTCATCATCGTGCATATGCTTTTAATGACTATGCTTTAGCTGTAGATGGTGGAGGACATACTATTTTATCGAGAATAGAATCACAAGGGGAAAAACTAAGGAATAAAGGCTCTCATATGCTAATCATAAATGTGTACACAAGCATTGATGGTCGTGCTTATTTGATTGTCATGCTATTGTGGTTAATACTTCTTTTAGTGTTTCTAATAACCAAGCCAGTTTATTGGCACGTTGTGTGTTTCTATTCATTCACTCTAGAGACAAGCATAAATGCAATATCTGATTCAATAGTATTTTATTGCAGAAACCCATCCGTAGGGGTGTCGTGGGGCACACTCTTATGGTGGAAGAGTTAGGCCGTCGGAAGATTAATCTTAATGTAAGTCTTCTGCAATGTATTCGTCTATAAATAGTATTTGATGGAATCAAGACATTATTTTTCCTGTACAAGTCATGTTGTATCGTATCGATTCACTATTCCCAGTTTTTATCTGATTTACTCCTGTTTTAGTATCATTTTGAGTAGTCGAGACACCTCTGCTGCTTTGAAGATATCAAATTCTGATTTCTCTCTCTAATTTTATTTATTTATTTGCAGGATTTTTATATACTAAGATTTTACAATCGGTTGGATGAGACAAAAAAGGGAGAAGTAAGTGGTAGTTTGATTCCATGAGCATTGTTTCCACCGTTGCCTTCATCATCATTTGCATTTCATTTCCCAATTTTGCTCAAGTGCATAGAATTGTGTTAGCTTATCATCTGTAAGATGATGAAACCCTTTTGAATATTTTGATATGTTTTTTGGTAAGTATCTTTTCTTTTTAATGGAAAAGGAGACTGTAGTCTCTGGCGCCAAAAGATGAAATTAATACTTTTACAACAAATCCTACTGATTTTGATGCTAATATGAAAAAAGAATGAGATGAATTAGCCTGGAGTTCTGTATTTGTACATTTATCTGATAATGTGTTATGGAAGTTTAAGAAAACAAAACATGCAATTGAACTATTGAAAAAATTAGAATATATTCACCTCACAAGACTATTCTATATAAAGTTTACCTTCTAAAACAGTTTTTTCAGCATTAAGGTAGACTCTAGCGTTGATATTGAAGTGAATTTAGACAGATTTATTAGACTAATAAGAGACCTTGTTAATAGTGATGAAAAAATCTCTAAGGATCAGCTATATGTAGTTTTGCTAAATTAAATTAGCGACTAGTGTAAAGATGTTAAAAATGTCATTTAATATGACAGAGACGCATGAACCCCTGATATAAGAATTACTGCAATAAGAAATAAGGATTTGGAGCTCAAAACTGAAGCTAAAGAATGAACCCCTGATATAAGAATTATTGCACTAAGAAATAAGGATTTGGAGCTCAAAACTGAAGGTAAAGAATACATCAGCGGTAAAACTTGTTAGCTAAAGGAAAAAGTAACTCTAGAAATGGAAATTCCCATAAACAGGACTGGAATAAGAATAAGAGTAATCAAAGAATAAGGCTAAGGGAAGGGTCAAAAGTAAAAGATATTTTAACCCTCAAGAAGAGGGTCACTTTATAAAGGATTGTCCTAAGAAGTTAGCGGACTTTAGAAATAAAATAGATGAAGTGTTTGTAGTTACATGTAGGCAGCCTATTCAAGCGTGGATTCTTGAGGTCAAACATTTCTTTTTGGGACTGAAATGCATATGAAACAGATATCATAAAACTTGATTCATCTTGAAATTACAAAATCATTTTTCTGATAGCTTCCTACTTCTGGTGTCCACAGAGGAGAGCCACACAAAATATTTCCACTAAGGAATGAATCGCTAAAACATGAAATCAAGATCTTAGATCTATGTTAAAGCTCCAAGAAACAAATCAGTTTAGATTGGCTAAAGTGCATATGGGCTTTTGCTCAATGTGCAAACTTTATGGTGCGTGTGTTTTATTTTTTGGAAGGATCATGGAGTCAAATTTACTCACGCTGAACAAGTTTTGTTATTGTTACAAGATTGCTTGTGACACAGCTGGTGACGCTCGAAAATGGATGGAAGCATTTGATCATGCAAAGCAACAGGTACAAGAGAAAAAGGACTAGTAGTTTGTCATATAGTTTTACAATTTTTGTGCATGATGCTTCAAGATTGTTGGTTTCATTCTTATTTGATGAATTTGGTTCATTTGACATGTCTAAGCATCATAAGTTACGGTTACATTAATATGCACTGCATCCTGATCGCAAAAAGAATGCCTTCTTTGTAGATATTAAGTATTCGATCATGCCAATTCATGGATATTTATAAAAACTGATGATTGTATATTGGAACTAAGAATTTTTTTCTCCTTTTGCAACATATGTCGGTCACAAAATGATTAAGTTCAATTTGTAGTTGCCATATGTTTCCTATTAAGCCATTTAATTTGCACAATCATACCATTGTCATGCTAGAATGTAATCCTTAACCCGATTCCCAAGTTTCCATGTTTAAACAAAGGGATGATCAGGTGAATTTTCTATTCTATTTTCCTTGGCTTTTATTTCTCTTGGTTCATTGTTTGACTGTAGGCAGCATATGAGCTTTCAAGACGTGGTAGTGCAAGAAACAAGCTGAACATGGAGGATGAGTATGTTTGACTCTCTCAGTAATTGGAAATCTTACTCTGTTGAAAAGAGAATGTTGATTCTCTTTTTCCCCCTTTTAGGAAGTTATTGCATTATACATATCTTTCGTAAATAATGAACTTCGTATGTCATCTCATGCCCCTTTGTTTCTCATCTCAGAAGAAAACATGAAAGGTTGAAATATAGAGAAATGAGTGAATTAAAGGGAAAGATTGATCTACTTGACATGATACTCAGACTTGTTACTGAAGTGCTGCAAATGTGTTCCATATGTAGGCTATGCTATTGAGAAATTGTGAAAATGCCATTTTAAATTGTGAAATTCCATGTGTAGTTAGTTCACATTCATGCTTACTATTGGACTCACTTAAAATATTTTTATGCACTCTTAAGATTTTTTTTTTATTTTTTGGAAGGATTAACCTTGAAAAACATCGGCCGAGAGTACGAAGATATGCCCGTGGTTGGAAAAAGCTAATAAGGATAGGTCAAGGTTAGGTACCTTTATGATATTTATTGCGCTTGATAATCTTGCTATTGGCTTTTTGTCTGTATTAAGATACCTTAATGACTCTTTTCTATTTACTGTTTTGTCATCTTTTTTATGGCTAAGCTCTATAACATTTCAAGGAATATTTCTTACACAACTGAAACTAGAAAAAAAATATATTTTTTTTTTGATAAGTGAAAAAAAAAAAATATTGATAATAATTTTTATTTATTTTTATATGGTTTTTGGCTTTTACTATTATATCATGTCGAGTAGCATCGATTCTTCTGGCGTGTCTTTTAACAATAAGTAGGTGTGGTGAGTAGGAAGCTATCTTTTTCTTTTGGGGGGGAGGGGGATTTGTAAACTAGTTGCTTCACCATATATACAAATTAAATATGTAATATGTTCGTCCCGGTCCATGTATTGACATATGTGCATGTGGGTTTTGTGTATCTGTGAGTGTGTACTTGTAAATATGCATGTGAAGAGTTCTTAGAGGGCATGGATAAGCTCACGAGAACTTATATTAGAGGTGTTGATTTTAGTGAGGACGCCTCTACATTTCCTTGAATGCTTTTCAGATATAATAAAATTTTGTTTCTGTGAATTGTCCAAATCTAGGTGATCATATCTGTTTATTAACATCCAAATTCTTGCACTTCAAGCAACGACCAGCAATTCAAGATATATACATTGCTTTTTATTTGCTGGTAATGTGTTATAATAGGCCCAGAAATGCTTTTGCGCCGGTCTTCAAGCTTGGGTGCTGGTGGTAGACCGGATGCATATTTTGATGCAGATAGCGGAGATGTAGTTGAAGCACATCAATGGAAATGTGTTCGTACAATGGGTGGTATTTCTTCTTCTTTTTTCTTTTGTCCCCATTAACTCCTTGTCAACGATTATCTGTTTTATACTTGTAGATTTTTCTGATCATTCTTGATTTCTAACTATTCTCAAGTTTCTCGTTTACCTTGTGCAACAAATTGATTTCATCTTATTATTTGCAGAAATTATTGAAACCATTCTAGATCACAATATAAAGTTAGTCCTTGACTTGTACTGCTAATGGTCAATGCGTAGATTCTTTGAGGGATTCTTTCTGTTCTTGTCAAATATGCATACTTATTTGTATCATCATTGAAGTAAGCGCTAACATGACCGTGGTAACTATAACCCTCTATCCACTATTTTAGCATTATGCCAGTCTAAAGGTTTGCAATGCAAACCACTTAAAATCATGTTGGTGAAGCTTTTTTTCTGTAATCATATGGCTGAAGCCTGAAGGTCCACATTATATTATCTTTTGCCAACCTGGCGGTATGTTTGGCAGTCAATGTTGATCTTGACCTTAGATCCTTTTGTGTTATTCATTGTTTTCTGTCTGTTTGGATGACTGGACATATGGATTTTTGGTCACTGAGTTTTGTGAATATTCTTGGGAAGACTTGGTAGATAAGCTATAAGAGGAAAGAGGATTGATACCTTGGATATGCCACTTTTTTATTGAGTAAAGGGACCATTGCAAAATAGTGTAAAATATGCAGAGGCAGCATATATCATGTAACCTGTACTTCTCACCTTTTACTGGTGAGCAGCTGATCTGGCGGTCATTTCACTGCTTGATTCAGTAATCTCATTGGGAAAGCATTTGAAGTTATGATGAAAAGCATAAGCTCCAAATACTACAGTGGCAATGAAAATTGGATTCTAATTCTTGATTGAAGAAAAGAAGAAAAGCATGCAAGTAAATTCTCGAAAACCTGGGCAAGCAGATTTATAACTCCTTAACTAACTTCGATAGTATATAAAATAAGGATGCTTGGACCTTTTGCTCAAATTCGTGCCTAACTAAATTGAAATTTGTTTGTCATTCTTGTAGTTCAAGACGCTTGGACTTTTTGCTCAAATTGGTAATCTGATGAATTGAATTGAACTGTAGTTGAAATCTGCAGTATGAGATTTTGTCAACTATGGTATAGACAATGGGTGTTCGGTTGATGCATTTGTGAAATTGGGAAGGGCTATCTAATTGTCTGTACGCAGAGATTTGAAGCCTTGTATTGCTTATACATTGCCCATTGCATGTACACTAGGTTTTTCTTTTTCCCCTTGCAGGATAATACTGTCCAAGAAGTCTAGCATAGTCAGCTTTTGGTTCCTCTGATTTTGTAGAGCTTGTCTAATTTGTAGGATGAAAAAAAGTGGGGCATGTCTCTTGAGGTTTGACAACATGGAAGTAGAGGCTCCTCAAACCTAAATTCTGACTTTAGTGATGCTGAATGTCAAGCATTGTCTACTAGATTACCGATGATTGTCTAATTGCAAACAATCACTTTGTTCTTTTAGTGAGTCAGTATAAAGTAGTGCACTGTACCACCAATGGGACCCAAACTTAGCATAACACCTGCATTTTCCAGGCTCAGGTTGGACATTTAACTGACGACGATAACAAAAGGTGTCTGATAGTAATTTTTGAACTACAATTAGTATAATCTATAAAAGCTGAGGAGCAATTTACAGGATAAAGTAGTCCTAGAGAAATGACAGTATTGTTTTCATGTATTTAAAAAATGTTTACTTATTTAGAAAAATGTGTAATGTATCTTTTTTTTCTGGACCTTTCGATTTCAGGTGTGAGGATTTTTGAAGATGTCTCCAACTCTAAGGTATCCACCATTAAGCACAGTCATGAAATTGTGCTTAATTGAATATATGGCTCAAAAATCTAGTATGACTTATATTTTTGCTATTCCTTTAGTGCGTTTCTCTGCCAAACTGTATGTATGCTCACCTATTAGATTGCTCATCTTTGAGTCTTGCTCTCATGGTGTTATCTTTTATCAATACATCTTCTAGTATTGCTATCGAACGTGGAGTGGTGTTGATCGTGAGTGCTTTATTGGATGTTGATACTGAGTGAAGTATCTCCACCAGTTGGAGCTCCACGTGTTAATACTAGTTTTGTAGGTTGCTGTCAAATATATACAACTTATTGGCATCTTGTAATGTTTGTTTGTATTTTTGCGATGGGTCTTTTAAATTCCAATGGCTTCAAACAGATTGATAACTTTACAAATGATCAAAGTTCTCTCTTTATAATGGATTACCCCCATTTTTTTTTTGTAGAATGGTAAAGGCATCTTGGTCAAAGCTGTTGGTGTTGTTGATGCGAATGCAGATACTGTATTCGAAATTGTGTTGAGTCTTGATCGAAATAAGAGATACGAGTAATTGACTCAGACTTTCTTCATGGCACTTGCTTGTTCCTACAAAGTCCATCTAACCGTACTTTTACAGGTGGGATACAATAACAGGTGACTTGGAGATGCTTGATTCTGTAAATGGACACTATGATGTTGTGTATGGGACATTTAATCCAAGATATTTGACTTGGTAAGTTGACTTTTCATTTGTTTTCTATACGATTTCTTTAATTTCTGTTGCTAAAGCATGCTTTAGCATTCAAGTAACTAGTCATGTAGGTAACTTCCGACTGTTCTAGCTTTAATTTTTTTTTTTCATAACCGTGGATGTCTGGGCCAGCTTGACTGTTCTAGCTTTAATACCCCTATTAGAGTAAGGCATGCTCGCTAAACTAGATTCACTCGATCTTGTCTCCAGCAATTAACCATTTTATGTGAGAAAAGACTTATCAGGGTTTCCTTCATATTATTTTATGTTTGTAAGTGCTGGTGTAGTAATTGATTTCAGCGCTTTAAGTCCATTCTCCATTTCCCAAAAGGAACCCTGATATTTTGCAGTTGGCCAAACTACGTAATCCTTTCATTGCCATCTATGTCTCAATAAAGTCTTTAAGTAGCGCGTTTCTACTTTCTATTCTCTTCTGTATTAGCAGAAAATATGACAGGATCTGTATGTGTGTTTTTGCATTTAGTCATGCTTTCTTTTATTGGTGGCAATTCACATGTGTTTATATGTTTTGAGAGTGAATAATGAATACGCAACTAATGTCATGGCGCCCCCCTCAAGAGCAACCATAACTGGGACGAGTGAATGCAATTTCCAGATTACATGGTTTACTATTTTGGTTGAGGTTACAGTGTTTTTCCAATATTCATCTCTCCACTGCCCAAATAGACTTGAGTTCAGCATCTAAGATAAGAAGAGAAACAATATACACCTTTCTGGATTCAGATATACTATTTGCAATACCACACAGATTTTTGTATGCAGGTGGCAGTCAAAAAGAGATTTTATTTTTTCAAGGCAATGGTTTCGAGGACAAGATGGAACATATAGTAAGCGATTACAGTTACTTTTTCTATTTTAGCTACAGGTTTTATGGTTTTGTTGGTTTCCGTGTGCTTTCGTGGAGTCATCTTTCTTTGATGTGCATGCAACTGTGCTCATCATGTATTAAAACATGAATATGGCTTGTAAACAAGACGAATCTCACTGTTGAATGCTTTCAATATGTTTAGAAGTGATTAATTTCTTGCTTCGGGTTAATGATGTTGAAATGAGACAAAAGAAACAAGAGTGAAAGGGATTAGGAGTAATATGAACATTGTCGAAAGATTCTGAGATTGAAGTTAAGCGTCCTGGAGCTGTGAACTATGACTTGAAATTATAACTTTGCTTTATCAGTACCTTTCACATTTCCGTTAATGAATCTTTTGTAAACCTATATTAAGCCTGTCAAAGTTGAATTAATATCGAGTTATAAGGATGATAGAATCTGCTTATAAAGCATGACAAAAGCATTCAGGAATCTAGATCAAAAGAGGTTGTTGGAAGAATGAAAGACATCAAATTAAGAAATTTTATGCTGGGCTCTCTGCGTTTTATCATTTCTGAAGTTAATATACCCAGGTTTATGTCTCAATTTTATAGTTAACTGATTGATAGGGAAATAAAATTTTAGTCACTTCATCATTTTAGAATTTACTTTGCCCTCCCCCCGTGTGTACTTTCAATAGTTGTCAATTTTAATTTGATGGATGATAAAATAAGTCAGCTACTTTCTAGTGTAAGAACCTACTGAAAATTAATTATCTAAGATTCTTACTGGATACTACTAGTTTTAGTTTTATCACGTGTTTGATATTCTGAGTAACTGTGTCTTTTTTGTGTTTGTTACTAAATTGATATATGTATTCCCTTGATGTTATAGTTCTGTAAATATGCAGTTTAGATCTATTCAACATCATTCTAAAAATGGACTGCTGAACTGACAATTGATAACATTATTGGTGCAGCAATCCTGCAGTTTCCTTGTGAACACAAAAAACGGCCTTCGAGATCTGGTTATGAACGCACAATAATCAGCCGTAAGAATCTATTACCTTACTTTTTTAGAGCTTCCAGCGTTTAATGAACATTTAGTGAATTGAACTAAAGAAACAGAAATAGAAGTTTGGATCACGTGTCATAGTTCTTGCTTTCTTGAGAATTTAAGTAAATCATTAGAGTGAAAGCTCAATAACTGGAGAAGCTGAAACTTTCAATATTTTTGTTATATGGGACAATGTGGTGGATCTTTTTGCTTTTGGAAGGAGAAATGGGCATTGAAAGAGGATTTTTTTCTTTTTATTCCTTTCATTTTACAAAAGTTTTTGAAGCATTAACATGGAACTATTGGGTGATATGTGGATTTCTACTCTAAAACGGCACGAATCGAGCCCAAAAATTTGCTTGGAGTTACTTTTATATGCTTTAGCAATGTGACCAATTCTCACTTCCAAGTCCCCACCCACCATTGGTAAAAGTTCTATGGCCAAATGAGAAATTGTAATTCTGTTTCCGAAACATGTGTTTGGAGGCTTGAATAAAACCAAGTTTATGAGCCAGCAGAACACAGACAAGGTTATGTTACTCCTATTCTCGTATCACTGACAATCGTTCTTTTGAAGTGAAAGCAATCACTTATACCTCTTCAGATTTACTTTGACTTTCTATACTTCTGAAATGAAATGCACGGCTCTTAACAATCAGTAATTTATTTTATATACTTCCACAAGTTCTTTTATGTTCAAATTGCTTAGTGTGTCATGTATTTCTTTTGTCTTTGATATAGTACCGATAATATCTCATTTATCTCTAAATTTCCATAACTGCGTATAAGGAAGTTATGAAATGTTATCTTTTGTTCCCTGACCATTTTATTATTCTGACTTTGCTGTGTAGCTTCTACTTGGGAGATCAGTAATTTAAGCACGTCTTCATCATCAAATACTGCCAGATGTCTGGTTACACAAATGCTAGAGATAAGCCCTAGAGGTTGGCTTAAATGGAGGAATAATGATAGCCAGAAATTTGAAAAGACTGTTCCCTATGCATTGTTGAGTCAAGTGGCAGGTTGGTAACACTTCTCATGCCTCCTATGTACAAACTGTTCAGCAACATATCATTCTCAGTCAGCTGCTAACGGGGATTGATGGTTAGAACTCGTGCAGAATTTGTAATTCTTTATGCAAGATCTGCGTACTATGTTTGAAATCATCATTTCAACCTTGTAACTCAACTATGACAAAGTAGTCTTGACATGTACCTTAAAACGAGCAAGGCATATCTGTCTTACATTTGGTTGGTAAATCAAATGAAAATAATCTTTTAAGTCATACAACCATTGTTTGTGCCTCATTGTCTCTCTTGCTCAATGTTTGAGAAAGATGGAATCAGGGTTACCTCAATACCTTAGCATGCTGTTCTTATTACATGTTCTTGGAGATATTTTTCTTTTCTTTGTTTCCAGAGATCTCTCTATTACAGAGGTTGGCTTCAGAATTATAGATGTCCAAATATTGCTATAATCATGATGTTTTTGATGTGTGGTCATTTTTTCAGGTCTGAAGGAATATGTTGGAGCAAATCCAGCACTTACATCTGTATCATCTACCTCATTTGTTCAATCAAAAATATCTCATGTTTCTTCGTCCAGTAGTGAATTTGAGGATGCAGAAATGGCAGATGAGTTCTATGACGCAATTTCTACTGATTCATCATCAGAAGACGAGGATGATGACAATGACATGGAAGTCAATAAGGTTTATTTATTGATCTTCGGATAATGTATTGCTTATTTGAAGAGGTACATAACTTCATAACTTATACCAGGTCAAAAAGATTAAACTGAAGAACGTTTCATGGGCTATAGCAAGCTTGGCACTAAAGCGAACTTCAGGTTCTCCTTATTTTAGCATTTCTAATAGAGAACAAGTCCACTATTTTTCCCTAGATGTATTACCACTCAATGGGCAAACACTAGTTGTAAAACTTTCAATTTATCAAATGATACAGCCCCAGATACAAACAAGGAATTAAACTCCCGTGAACCCCCAATCAATCTTGAGCCAAGTCAATTTTATGGATCCATGAGGAGAGCAAAGGATGAAGGTGATAAAAATTGTTGGTCTTCTCCAGATGGTACAGGATTCATGATCAGAGGGAAGACCTATTTGAAAGATAACACCAAGGTTGGTTCCAAAACTTATAAATACAACACTCCATCAAAAGTTGAATTTTCCTTGCCTTTTTTACTAATAAATGGAATTAAAAATAGAAACTAAGCCTTTTCATCCAATTTAGTTGTTCATACAGGTTAAGAAGAATGGAAAGAATTTTATGATCCATTTGCATGAAGTAATGAAAGTAAAAGGCAATGTCTCTGTAGAGTTAATTGTTTCTTGACAATATAATTCATGACAAGCCTAAAAGTTTAGATGAATGATCAAAAGATCACTTTGTTCGACCTATCACGTTTCCGTACTATCGACGTATTCCAGTTATTTGTTTGTGTCTATTGTATTTCTTTCTTTCCCTCCAAACCAACAAGGATTGATGTACCAAAAGCAACCTCATATATCTACTTTTGTGGATTTCCTTTACGGGAAACAATCTTATGTGTGACCTCTCTTCAGGTAAAAGGAGGAGAACCTCTTCTCAAGCTCATAGCAGTTGACTGGTTCAAGGTGGACAATTCTGCAACAAAGGTTGCATTGCATCCTAAAAGCCTTGTTCAGGTGAGCATATACTTGATTTTACATCTCATTACGTAATCAGAAAAACTATACAAAACAATACATTACAATGCCCTTGTTTGGGCTCCATTAAAAATGCATTTGGAAAAAATGCATTTTTGAATAGTAATATTTTGGAGAATGTGTGGTTGAAAGTAAGAAAGAGAAAAAGATATTTTTGGAGAATGGAGCCCAAATAGGGGCAATATATTCTCTGCCTCCGATTATCTTTTATTATTTTCTCATTCCATTGTCATTTTTCTACCTGTCAAACTCAAACTTTGATCTCAACCACAAATTCAAACTGCTAATTATTATCCACACACTTTGTGATCCCCACCACTATTTTTACTAAAAAGTTTACCCAAACACATCCTCTGTTATTGCTCTTAATATACATGATTTGGAAATATTTAAATGTTCTTGGCTTAAATATTCTGTCAATGGCTTCTGATTCTTGAACTGTAAGAATATGAAGGTTGACTGTAGAAATTAATGCCAAAATCTTTCTCAATTCAATTCAGGTTTTAAAATGAAATTACTCCTTGTAGTTTTTATTGTCCTGCACTGAAGTATTTTAATTTACTTGGGCACGACAATTTTTGAAGTACATTTTAGTGGTTGAGAGAGAGCTCTTTGTCAATGAGATTGAGATCACGAAGATNGGTAGTAATTACAGTTTACCTAAATTGTATCATATTACCATGTACATATGACATATTCATCTATATAATGCAAGGATCCCAAACGGGAAGATCATTCAGCCAAACTTTGACACTCTTGGTACTGCCGCATTTTTTTTAATTACATTTTCTCATACAACTTCTATTGATTGGCATCTTTATGGCACTGGGGTGGTTTAGGTTTCAAGTCTCATAGAAGAATATAACAAGGCTCAAACTTCTGCATTGTCTTTTCCTGCAAACAAGTTTTAATTCTAAGTTGAATTACATACAAGAACTGTTGCATGATACTAGGTTAAATTCTCCTAAAATACACCAAAGCAATAAATTATACACCGTTGCACATTTAGTCTCATCTCTTATTTCTAAGTTTCTAAAAGGCACGAGGTGCATGTGTCACAAGGCAGCAAGGTCAAGCACCTTACGATCTTAGGCATGCCCAGGCGTAATAAGGCGTTACATATTTTTATTATTATTTTAATTTTTCTAAGACAATTAATAATTATTTATTTTATTTAATTAGATTATTTGACCTTTCGAAAAATAAAAAAATTAGGAAAAAAAAGCCGCACGCCTTTGGACGCCTAGCTGCATTAGGCGGTCAGGAATAGAGTTGACTGCCTTTTATCCACGCCTTCCCCATATGCGAGGCTGTTTCCTCATGCCTAGTTCCCGCCTTCTAGAGCACAGCTTAATCCGTGTTGTTAAATTGTCTGCTAGCAATTCCATTCCCGAAGTTGTTCACTACTATTTCTGGTTTTCTTGTCTGTGGAGAAAATCAACATACGCTCATCCTGCAATTTCAATGACTGATAAAATAAATTACCTTCGCTTCCGTTCAATGAACTTCTAAAATGAAATATCCAGCTTGATTCACTAATTTGTGGGAGAATGAACACTGTATTTAAAGAAGGCTTGAGAAGGTATTTTTCAAAGCAGATGGCGATCGCATCCCATTTTTCTTTCTCTTCTTATATAAGGTATTTGTGACAGATCCATGATTCTACCATTATGAAGCTGTTGACACGGTGATGGTTGAGTATGCCTCCATATCTACATATATCTTCTCCTATTTGATAATGTTAAATAAATTATAATTTGGTGCATGTTTTAGTAAATATTATGCAAATCTCTTTATCTTCATGCTTGTTTGATGTATTTTTGTACTCTTTATATTGTGATGTCAATATTGAGGTTGTTTCTTGCAATAAAGAGAAAACTGCTGGCATTGAAGATTTATTATTTTCCTTTATGGGCATGTTTCCCATTGATGATGTTCAGTTTGTGAGCCCAAGCTTCTAACAAACTTTCTAATTCTATGTGTACTGTTATTTCCAGAATGATGCAGGAAAAAAACTTCCATTCGTCCTTGTTATCAATCTTGAGGTATCTTACAAAATATCTTAATTCTTTTTTTCTAGTTAACGTAGTAAGAGATTATTTTTATTCCTCTATCTGGAATAGTAAACTCATAACCCCAGCATTGCATAATTGTGTTATTTTACTTGTGAAAGAAATCTACAACAAACAAAATGTGCCTCAGAAAGGTGGTGTCTAGTCAATAGATAGCGACAATTGTCATTTGTCACGTACTTCATAACATGCTAAAAGGCAAAAGTAGGTGTGCAAATGTATGTCACAGAAAGTTGTAATGAAATGCTGAAATTATCTATAACCTTCTATTCCCCTGTTAGATTCCCATTATTTCAAAAATACATTTTTCTCTCTCGTCTTTTCAACTACACATTCTTCAATAAAATAATATTACACGCAAATTCAAAAAAATTTCTTATTTTTTAACCACACATTCTCTATCAATCTACTATTCCAAAATGCATTCTTACTATAAAATGGGAAACAAACACATGTATTTTATATATGGAACCTTTATGAATGAGAAAAAAACTTGCTCTGTTTTTTTTGTGCAGGTCCCAGCCAAACCGAACTACAGCCTGGTTCTCTATTATGCTGCAGATAGGCCTGTAAATAATACTTCTTTGTTGGGTAAATTTGCTAATGGAACTGACCTGTTTCGTGATTCAAGATTCAAACTTATTCCCAGCATTGCTGAGGTATCATCGTTTGCCAGTATCAAGATTGGTTGCCTTTCTGTGAGCTTTATTTGACATTCTTTCATATTTTTTTCATCATTTTCTTGTTATAATAGGGATACTGGATGGTCAAGCGTGCAGTTGGAACAAAAGCTTGCAAGCTAGGAAAAGCAGTAACTTGCAAATACCTTCGGCAAGATAATTTTCTGGAGGTAAGATCCTAATATCCTTGGTCCTAGAATTATTGGATGCTGATCATTGTGCAAAATTCTCTGTTTTTTTTCTATTTGTAAGTTGCTGGGGTTTAAATTACAATGTACTTTCGACTTCGTTTTGTGTTATATTTTACAATGTTACCGTCTATTTTTGGTTTTCCTTGCTTTGAAATAATTTTATCTGTCAACTTTAGTATTAGCTGCTTGTGGTCTTTGGCTCTCATTCATCGGAGCTTCCATAATTTCCTATTCCTGCAGATTGATATAGATATTGGCTCATCATCTGTAGCAAGGAGCGTCATTGGCCTTGTCCTTGGATACATTACAAGCATTGTTGTCGATCTTGCAATAGTTATAGAGGTTCGTATGTTGCTGGTTTTCCCCCTCTTAGTGCATGTTTGGCTTAGGCTAAAAGCTTTAGTTACAATTGAATCAGTAGGTTTTTAGAAAATAAATTCTTTTGTTGGTCAAGGTTGATATTAAGTTACTTATTTTGAATGCAACTTGTTGCTGGCAAAATTAGTAACTTCTTGTACTTACAAGTAATTATAAGTAACTTATCCAAACATGTTGAAAATTAAGGGTTACTTAAAAGTAATTTTAGTAACTTTGCTATTTAGTTTTCTAGAAGATCTGGGTGCACTGTCATGGATTGAGTCTGTCTCAAGCTTGAGATCGTGTGCCTACGCAATTTGTTTTCAAGATCTTGTATCAACCAAAATATTTGGTTCTCGTGTCGTATGCTTGCTCTGTGGTTTTCCGTTTAAATTGATTTTATCTTTCAAATGAGCCCTAAGAAGATGCTTTTTTACGTTAAAAGAAGAAGATTCAAACGCTCCAATTTCTGATCCACCACCACTTCGAACTTAAATGTTATAATCTACAAATTCTTTCTTGTGGCCATCTTTTGAACTATTCAGAATTGTAATATCTTCCATATGCTTGTCCCATAATTTGGCTTTTGATGGTTGACTCTTTACTGTTTTTATCTGATCCAACGTGCTATTCGCTTCTATGACTAGATTTACAAGAATTTATGAAACAATTTATTTAGAGATTTTGGAATATAAGCACGTTTTCAATGTCTTTTTTCTGTACTTGTAAGGATACTTGAAGCTACGCTAACTACGTTGTCTGATACTCGGATGATGAAGTTTTTCTGTCCACCATCATAGATGAAAAGAAACTAAATAAGTTGATGTTCTTGATAAAAAATTGGATGATCAATTTGCACACGGTATTAGATTCGTAAGAATGGGATTTTGGCTTTAGTAGCTGAATGGAACAATTTTACTGCATTATAGTTTGTACTCTTATAAATCTGCTTTGTTCTTGAGTCGTTTTACTACTTCATTCCACACACCTTCTGTATGATACAGGCTCAGGAAGAGGAAGAACTCCCCGAGTACATCCTTGGAACCGTTAGACTAAATCAAGTGCGACCTGAATCTGCTGTACCTTTGGAGGTTTGAGGTTCCAAAATGTAGATACATTTTACTGATTTGATCAGTGTAATTACGCCCGTCCCTGTTGTTGTCTCTGATTATGTTGTGCCCTAGTAATTAATAGTGACCATCGATGGTTTGATACATGAGTCGCTTAGAAATTGAAAAGTTGGATTATGAAATTGCAAAACATAATTTTTGAATTGGATCAACACTTCCAATTGAATATTGGCTTTTTCTGCTATTGGAAACATCTACTCGTGCCTTAGCTCCAAGAGCTAGTTTAGGCGTGCAAATAATTTATTTTGACCTGAAACCATTTTTGTTGAAATCCTATTCTGGTTCTCGACCTTGAAATCAGTTTATGTTAAACTTCAGTTCCTAGAAAATTTGCAGAATGACGTCCCAAGTGTAGTTTTGGAACACCAATTTGCTCCTTTCTAAAGTTAATGATTCAAGTTGCTAATTGAATAATATTCCAAGCATTAGTATTGCAAATTTTCTGGTAGCCAAGGTATTTTGAAGTAAAACGTATCCTTCAGTATCAGTTTACTTTCAATATTAGTCATTCCATTATCCCAGATTACTTAGAGCACATTTGGTTTTGTTAAAAATCAATTTTTTTTAGTAGATTAATGTATCATTGAAAAATTGATTAAAGTTGTGGGTCTAATGAATTGTGTAGTTGAAAATGAGTTTTAAAAAATGGAAGTTGAACTGAACACCCCAATCTTTTATAGAAGTCGAGAATTGACAGCATTTTGTTGTATCTTATGTTTCCACATAAATATGCCACTTAATTCAGTCTATATAGCCATCTCTAAAGTGGAATCAATTATTTCTAGCAATGAACTTGTACACTAAAATTGAATCATCCGAACCCCATGTACCTCAGTACCTCTGCTTCCTCAAACACACAAGAAATGATGTTAATCGTTCATCCTCAAAATTCGAATTTACTAAATCAAGAAAACAGCATGTCGTATAAGCATTTTTATATGAATCATTCGGCATTGACACATAATCTACGTCTTGCGGAAACATCGTACCTGAAGCCATACGCGGAATTACGCCTGCTTTTCTGATTAACCATAGATGTTTCCTCATAATTTGCTCCACTTAATAAGCCAACTTGGTCATCAAGACTGCATAAAGAGACGTAACAAAAATTCTTGTCCTTTCTTATTATAGAAGAGCATAAATAAATACTTTTGCTATATGTACATCAAAGTTTACACTTTGGTGTACATAATGTCCATAATGCTATGTACACATAGCAAAACCCTTTTTCTTTTCCACTAGCCAATGATGAAATGCCACTTTGGCATTATGTACACCAAAGTGTAAACCATGATGTACATGGAGAATAATTCAAGACATACCCACTTTCTGTGACACACAGAAGTTACTATACACCTGATCGATATTTTTACATGGATGTAGAGTAAGCTATGCTATATCTATTCTTGCAGCTTACTAGAAACTGCAAGATCTATTTGAAATGGTAAGAAGAACATCAGCAGCTAACCTTTTATGTCTCTACAGTGCAGTAGCATTGTTGATTGATTTGATCTAAGTTGGAAAAACCACCAGTTCGAACGCATCTTGTGTGTACTTAGATATCAGACATGCAAAACCTTTTAGAATGAAGTAACTAAAATAAGATTTTATAATTTGACAACCTCAAGAATGTTAGATAACTTAGATTTCTTTAACACCTAAAACGAGAAGAAACAATCTTCAAGGAAGAAATTATACATTATTATGGAAATTCTAATGTGTTCATTGCTTAAATCACAACCACAGAAACGTTATTGTTGCAATGTGCAATAAACTTAAATTACAGACATTGTTGTCGCCAGAAATCTTCCAGAAGGTGAAAAGTAAGCAGAATGCACGGCTCTTTCATGGCAAAGAGTCTTCGACAAATATTTACGTTTATCTGCATCCATGTGTCTTAAATCCCAAATGCAAGCAGTGCCATCTGAGGAACTTGTAGCCATCATATTACTATTTTCTGGGTTAAAGTTTATGGTATTGATCCTATCGTCGTGTAAATTCCAAGATGACAGGGGTTTTCCTGCTTTCAAATCCCATACATTGACTCCTCCATGCCCCTTTCTAAAATACAGGGATTTCATGTCATTCGGAATTTGAGATAAAGAGCATAGTGTACTCACTGGAGTATACCAAATCAAACATCTCCTTCTCTACATCCATCAACCTGATCAATCCACCATAGCAAGAACTGAAAATCTGCGTGCATTATATTCACAAGTCAACTAAGCGCACCACCTATATATGTTTCCACATATTACATAAATGTGTCATGATACGCAACAACTTTGATGGAACACGAACTTTGTTATGAGTGCCAAAGATATAGATACGTCATAACGATTATTCGTACAATGTGTAGCATCATCCCCGAAGATTAAGTAATAAATACAGTAGCCTATATGAAGTATTTTCCATGCAGGACTATACAAATCAAATACTTGGTTTTTTTCATTTGTCTTATTAAACGATAATAACATTTTATTTTTGTAAACGCAACTGCCCAAGAACGATTTTCAAGTAAATGTTACTTCTTCAAATTCCC